TATTCTTCAAACGGATCCAAATTGAGTCTTAGGGTTCCGGCGAAGAGATTGGGTTCTTGTGGTATAATTGTTAACTTCGATCGCAAGTCATGTAAACCAATACGAGTCACATCCACGCCATCGATCAGTATCTGACCAAATGTTGGCTCAATTATGCGAAACAAAGCCAACGTAATGGACGACTTGCCGGCACCGGTTCGGCCAACTATTCCCACCTTCTCTCCCGACTCTATTCTAAAGTTGAGTTCTTTGAGCACCGGTTCGAGTCCTGGTCTATAAGAAGCGCTATAATTGATAAAATCAATTGAAGAACTGGTCGGCCAATCATCAGATGGTTTGTACGCATCGGTCGACTGCCAACTCTTCTCTGAGTCCAACTCCGAGTACTCCCTAACCCTTTCCACGCAAACCATTTCCGTCTCGAGATCTGCGGTATTTTTAAGAGCCCATGAAATACTGTTAATCACATCAACCGAATAGATGAGCACAAAGCCGGCCAAACCCGGGCTAATAACACCCCTCTGAAGCACAACAAACAGTGCCGTCGATAATGTGATCAATTGGCCGAAGATTGACGTCCAGATGTCAATCCTGTTTAAACAATCAATATTTCATTTAAGTTAAAAATGTAACTTTAAATGAGTTGACAAAACACTGACCACATCTGCGTTGAATACTGATGTCTTTCAATGTTGGTATTGATGTCAATAAAGTTTTGCAACTTTTCAGTAAACATTTGCTGAACATTATATACGCGAATAGAAACGGCGCCCGAAATGCTTTCGTTGAAGTGGCTATATATGGGAGATTTGGTGATCGCTTCCAAACGAGTCAATTGTCGAGATGTCCACAAATAGATGCGCTGACAAAACAGGAGATCATTATAATTGGGTTAAAATCTATTACTCATTATTACAAGACATACGTATAGAAAGACAAATAAAACAGAGACAATGAGTATAAGTATAGCCATATATGCGTTGGTGTAGACAATGACACCCAGAATGAGCACAAACCAGATGAATGTCATCACCGATTCAGTCATACAGAATGGTATCTCTTCGTCAATCTTCGCAAAGTCACGATTGAATCGATTGATAATCCGACCCAAAGGCGTGGTGTCGAAGAATGAGAGCGGTGTCCGCAGAATGCAATACAACATGTCTTTGTGCATCACTTCCGACGCCTTCAGCGCCCCGTATCTCATGATTACTTGCATTACGAGCACAAAAATGGCGTCCAATAGAATGGCCGACAGATATATAATGAGGAATTCGTTTCGGTTTGTCTTCTCCTCCTCTGCGGTGGTGTTTGAGTTCTTTGTGGTCCATATATTGAGCCAATAATTGGCGCCGACTTCACACATATTGAACATAAAGGCACACAAGAGTGGTATGACTACAAAGAGCAGAGGAATGCGTTTCAAGTAATCTAAATAAACAGTGTATTTAATTGATCCAAATTGTTGGCTCTCTTCATCAATAAGTTGATCGCTTTCGGCCTCTCTTTCCAGCCTTTCCTTTAGTGTTTCAGCCTTTGGTTCCGTTGAATCACTTCTAATGGAGAGTTGCGGTGATAGAAGTCTTGAGGTTTGTCTCGACATTTGTCGCGATATTTGTCTCGACAACTGACCGATTGATTCGTTGCCACTCATGTGAGATGTTTGTCGAGACATCTTATCTTCACTTCCGATGGACTTATTATCGGATTCATTCAACACCTCTTCCGAAAGCATTCCCCTTTCGGACAACTCTTCATAACCGCCCGAATCGACAATTTTTCCGTCTTTCATCACTAGTATCTGATCCGCGTCTTTGAGGAATGAGATGTGATGTGTGGCCAAAATGCGGGTCTTCTTCTTCAGCAGTCCTTTCGGTCCAATCACTTCTTGGAAGAGATGTTGTCCGACGTGTGCGTCCACTGCAGCCAACGGGTCGTCCAATAGATAGATGTCTGAGTCCTGATACACAGCTCGGGCTAAACTAACCCTATGTTTCTGACCGCCACTCAAATTGATTCCCTTTTCGCCGATTTCTGTCATATCTTTTGCCGGAAGTAAATTGAAATCCGTTTCGAGAGCACAGGCTTTCACTACTCTCTCGTATTTATCGCTCTCATAGTCCGACACAAACACTATGTTTTGTCTTAACGTCAAGTTCTGAATCCAAGCGCTTTGTGGCACATAAGACACGGAACCGTTCAATACATTCCTCTCACCCGCTCTTCGATACATATCTCCCATAAGTGCAGAAAATAACGACGACTTTCCCGAACCGACTCTTCCGACGATCGCTACAAACGACCCCTTTTTGATGTTAATTGAAATCTCCTTAAGAATGGGCTCTTCTTCTAAATTCCAACCAAACGAGCAGTTCATCAAAGAAGCCGCATATCTATCGTCACGTAATTTATCACGTCTTCCACTCATTGTCTCATCGCTTCCTAGACTTGAATCCAATTCTTCACAACTCAGATATTTTCTGATTCTTCTGAACGACACGAGAGCTCTCGTCATATGAGTTAAACAATTTGGAAGTCTATGAGAATTAATGTAATTTTGAAG